GAGAGAGAGAGAGAGAGAGAGAGAGAGAGAGACAGAGAGACAGAGAGAGAGAGAGAGAGAGAGAGAGAGAGAGAGAGAGTTTCCGACGTGAGAAGTGAAAGGAGCGATGACAATGATGATAATGATGATGATGCCGTTCGCGCGGGTAAATTCTTCCGTCAGAGGAAGCAATCAATGCCCATGCGGACAACGCTCATATTCTTCTTAAACTACGGAGTCATCAACCTTTTGATTTTGGAGTCATGATGTGCGAAATTTTGTTTTTTCTTGTCGACTTCCATACTTTCTCCACATGTATGCAGTCATGGATAATGCATTCCCTTCCTCCTTTTTTTTTTTTTTTTTTTTTTTGATGAAATGAGGGAGAGGTTTTAACCAATACTCGTGTCTGTGTTTCTTTCGAATTTGTTAAGTTTTTTTTTTTTTCGACGTCGTTTGAATAGAGGTTTCATACCCCGCACGTGGTGAAAAGGATTTGTTTTCGAAAAAGTTAGGCAGGGTGCGCCGACGTTGTTGACATAGAGGACGACAAAGGTGGTGCCGACGATGATGATGATGACGTTGATGATGTCGATGATGAGAACCCTCATCATCGACGTCATCATCATAGTTGGCGTCACCTCTGCTGTCCTCTGCGTCGACAACGTCGGCGCCATCAGCGATCCCGCCTAACTTCTTCGGTTCACTCTTATGAAACACATTTCATCAACGAAAAACTGTATTTTCGTATGTGTTGTGTACATTTCGCTATATTGATGGTTCATATTCGTTGATGAAGTTTTATATGTACGTGTATATCGACATACAATATGTAGAGTCAATTGCATACGTTTGTTACCGGCCAGTGCTATCTGTAACCAGACATGTGCAGTGCATACACGTGTTATAATACATGAAGAATGGATCATGTGAAGCGCGAAGTAAAGAACAGACACGAATTTGAGAACGGAAAGATAAATAACAATATGCGGATTTACCAAGAAGGGGAAAAAAAAAAGAACATTATGAAACGCACTCACAGGAATTTGTCATGAAGAACACAAAAACGGACCATCAGGACACTAATTTCCGCGTGCCAATCCGGAAATCATCTCATATGCATGAAACAGGATGTTGAAACGACCGGTGGCGCTACCACTAAAATTATATAAACACCCACCCACTCTTCGACCGGCCATCATCTCCCTTAACCTCCTCTCCGAACCTCACGCCCCCTCCAACTACGTTGCTTCACACCACATTTCCTTTCGAACACAACACCACTAGCGCCAGAGGCATGGCGGCGGTGCACCGTGGACTGCCACGTGGTGACGCACATGTTGAACCAGACTATCCCCCACATGTTTCGCAAGGTCACCGTCATAAGTGGGGTCGTCCTTTGGGACAACGTCGATGTTCAAGTCCGGAAGATGACGGTTGAATCGACACCGGCGCCATCGTCGTCGATGGTTGCCGTCACCGACGTCATCTCCATCATTGTCACCGCTGTCTTCCATCAATGCCGGGTTGATTTGCACGTTCCGCTCTATCATGAGGTTATAGAGAATGCACACGGCCATGAACTCCTTGCAGATGGTCGCCAAATTACAAATGTGTCGTCGAATGGAGTTCCTCCACACCGCTTTTAGACGGCCAAACGTCCGCTCTATGCACGACCTTGCTGCACTGTGACTCTCGTCGAACGCCCGATCCGCCGCCGTTTTAGCAAACCGGCCAAAAGGAGTCATGAACCATTGAAGAAGTAGGTAGCCTTGATAACCTATCACATACAACCCAATATGTCTGCCGTCATGCAGTATGGCACCTCCCTCACCCAACACTCCTTTGCCCTCCGAGGCGCTTTGGAACAACGACGAGATACGTAGAGCTCTGGAATCGTGCATAGACCCCGGACAACCCACAAAAATACTGACGATTCGGCAGTCGTGGTCGCACACTGGCACGACCTGCGCCACAACAAAGAACCCCCCAGTGTGCTGGTAGTAGCACTCTGACCGTGTGTCCTTCGGCTTCTCGATGTACAAATGTGTGCAATCTATTGGGCCTACACACCCGGGAAAGCCTTTTCTCTCAAAGTCGTTTTGCACGTCCTCCGACCGCCGTCCTGTAGGGAATCGTAGCAGATGATTGTACTCTCGGATGATGGCGTCGGTTGTTTCCTCATGGCTGCGCAAAGCACTCGCTAGCCCCATACCCAACCCATGGGAGGACTGCCTATAATAGCCACCGGTCGCCCATCTGATCCGCATGCATGCAAACCTTTGACTGACAGGTATCGACAATCTGAAATCCGTAGGCGAGCGTTGGATATGCGGGCTGATACGACCTATAACTTCAAAGAAGAGAGGGCGTGGGAGTTTGCAAAAACGCAAGAAGACCTTATCGTGCTCAGCCCCCACTCGCTGGAGGTCCTTCCACTCACCGCCACTATGCTCCAACACCCACAGACGGCGTCGGCGGTCCATTGCCAGTCCTTCCCATCTCCTCCACCGCCAACGACCCCAGTGCAAAAACGTGCAGCATCCCCCCTGCGAGAAGTGTAACCGCAGCGGAGACGTTTTGGAAGAGGAACGGCATCACCGACAATGCCTCCACGACCGCCATCGCTGCCGCGTTCCGTCTGTTCACCCATTGAAGAATAAAAAAACCAGCATGACGCATCCATGGCCTCCGACGCAGTACAACGTCCGGATGGTGACAGTCACAGCAACCGTCACCTTTGGCTATGGCACCCCACTGTCCCTCCGTTGATGGTGAACGGATTGGCAGACCGCGAGGGATGCCCGGCTACCAACGGGTGGATAGGCGGCCGCAGGACACAACTGCGGGAGGGCTGAACCTGAACAACGATCTTCCGTTCGCAAGGCGCCAGTTTTTTGATTTACCGGAGAGGGACACCGGCAACGGCACCAAAAACTTATTGGGCAGCATTTTGCGGCCAGGCACCTTTTCCAGGCGCCGGCCAGTGGGGTCCAGGCCTAGACCTGAGATCATCCCCGGAGTTCCACGTGTGTGCACCTTCATGCGTGTACTGGGAGCGTACTGACACCTGTCGTGGGTGTATCTGCCTGCTTTTGCGTCCAGAGCAGGCGTTTTTTCATTCCTTCTTTCTTTCTTTGTTCTGAAGGGCGATGGCGAAGTGATCGGCCGTAGGTGATTCAGAATTCTACTACGTCGTATTTTACGCATCATCGGCTTTCACTGGAGTTCGAACTCAGGGCATACTGTCACGAGGACTATCTTAAATGCATCTGACGGCACTTTCGGCCTAACGTTTATGCATCTGGCCGTAATTACGTCCAGAAAAATCAGTAAAAAAGTGCTACCGGTAGTGTCAGTATTTCCTCACTTTCGAAGGTTACCAACAACTGAGCTCCCCGCCGCTATGTATGGACTGCAGTTCCCGCCAGTATTATAGCCTGAAAATTTTATGGCCCACGTATAGGCCACTCGGTGTATGGACTGCAGTTCCCGCCAGAATTATTATAGCCGGAAATTTTATCGCCCACTTGCCGCCGCTATGAATGGACGGCAGTTCCCGCCAGAATTTCAGCCGAATACTTTATCGGCCACGTGCGTACAGAAAGTCATCGAGGCACAGGACTCGCCATAGCTAAAAGCTATGTGAGCGAAGTCGCCATAGCTAAAAGATATTTGAGCGTACTGAAAGCATCGAGGGGCGGAATTAGATCACCCTCGTTCGCGGTCGTAAGCGTAGAAGGTAGGGGTGGGGGTTATGCTCATTTGTGAGCGTAGAAGGTAATAAGGGTGGGGGTCATTCGTGGATGAGGGAGTAGTGGGTAAGGGACATTTTTCTTCTTGTAAGTGAGCGTACAAGGCAAGCTAGGGGTCGTTCTTGAATGTGACTGTGGGAGGCGGTGGGAGGGGGGAGGGGGAGGGGTCATTCTTTTATCTGTTAGCGTAGAGGCGCAACGGGGTGACGTGACTTCAACACGACGATCGTACGATCGTTGTACGGTTGAAGTATACGCCGCTTGGAGGTGACAAGGGGAGTTAAGAGCAGCAGCTTCAATCCAAGTTCTAGCTATGGCGGCGGCGGGAAGGCAAGATGGGCTGGCTATGGCGGACGGGCTAGTTCTTGTAGACGACGACGGCACTTATGATTACGATCTCGTCACGATTGGAGTGGGAAGCGGAGGGACTCGAGGCTCGCGGATGGCAGCAAGCTATGGAGCCAAGGTAAAAAAAAACTTT